TTCTTATTTCCCAGATTTTGCTAACAATATTCCTCATTTTATATCCGTGGAATTTTTGGTATCGAAAATGGGCTACATAGTCCAGATTTTTGTATAGCCCCCATATAAGTAGATCGCCAAATTGAAGGTGTTTTGGCTGTTGAAGTCATGTTTTTGTGCCCACCACCATAGTATATTAAGTTTGTCATTCCGTTTGTAACACCTCGAAATATAGATTTTAGACCCCACAAAGTATATATATTCTTGATCAGGATAAAATTCTATGGCAATTTAGCTATGTCCGTCCATCTCTTCGTCTGTGGAAATCACTCTAACTACCGAACGATTTTACTAAAGTGTATACTATGTTTGCCGGACTTTTGGTATTGAGAATGGGCCATGTAGGTCCACGTTTTGGTATAGCCCCCCTATAGCGGCACCTCTCTATTTTCGGTATTTTGGTTAATTAAGCGACATTATTCATGGTAATTGTTTCAAATTTGAAGTTCGCAATGGATACTACAGCCTAGGACAGAAATGTGTCTGTGCAGGTCCACATCTTCGTATAGCCCCCATATAATGGTACTCCCTATTTTCGGTATTTTAAGGATTAAAGCGACATTATTCACCGGAAGTGTTTCAATTTTGAAGTTCGCAATGGATACTACAGCCTATGACAGAAAATTGTCTTTGCATGTTCACCTTTTGGTATAGCTCCCATATAACGGTACCTCCCGATATTCGGTATTTTGATGATTTTAGCTACATTATAAACAGATTTGTTTTTAAGTTCCGCATTTGAATATTGTAATAGCTTGTTACAAAAGTTGCCGATGCAGGTCCACGTCGTCGTATAGACCTTAATATATGGCTACATTCGGTATTTTTGAGATTTTAACAAAATTTTTAACGGATTTTATTTTTTTGAAAAATGTTAAATTTGTACCAAATGGTGGATGGTATTCAAAGTTCGGCCCAGATGAACTTACAGCTTTTGTACTTGTTTTTTTTTTTTTGGGGGGGGGCAGCATCGGTCAATTTTTTTTTTAAATGTAGTGGAAATAGAGTTTTTTTTCATTTCGTCTGTGGAAATCACTTTAGCTTTCAAACGGAACGAAACCGATTTATGAAATTTTCTTTAAATTTATTTTAGGTCCCTAGAATTTGGTATTTGAAGTTCGCAATGGATACTACAGCCTATGACAGAAAACTGTCTACGCATGTTCACGTTTTGATATAGCCCCCGTTTAATGGTATCTCCCTATATTCGGTATTTTGATGATTTTAACTACATTATGCACAGATTTTTTTTTAGTTTCGCATTTGAATGCTGTAATGGCTTATGACAAAAGTTGCCTATGCAGCTCCACAACGTCGTGTAGATCCTAATATGATGGCTGCATTCGGCATTTTTAAGATTTTAACATTTATTTATTTATTATTTTTTTTTCTTTTGAAAATTGACAAATTCGTTCCAAATGGTGGAGGGTATTCAATTCGGTCCGACCGAACTTAGCTGTTTTTTTACACGTTTTGACAGAATTGTCCGTAAATTGGCAGTTTGTACTCCCTATATGTAGGCAATTTTTTGAAAAGAAAGTTTAGGTATAGTCCTAATATAACTTACTCCCAATATTGGGTATTTTGATGATTTATATCTCATTTCTCACCGGAATTGTGTCAAATTTGCTATGTGGAGTTTGTAATGGTTCCACAGAGAGAATTGAATATCCAGGTCCATGTCTTCGCATAGCCCCCATATTACGGTGCCTGCCATTATTCGGTATTTTGCTTTTTTAACCACTTTTTAACAGAATTATCTCAAACTGTTATTTTATTTTAACTTCGCAATACATAGAGTCTGATATATGAGGCCTAGAGGAGCAGTAAATCTACAAACGTTTTTTACAATGAGGTATGATGCAATACACCACTATGACTTAGGTCAATGTTTATGTATAGCTGAAAACCTCTGGATCTAATTGAGAGACTCCCTCGAGATCTGAACTGAAGAAATGAACTGAATTGAATCCTTTCCGATATTAAGGTTCGTTCGAATTATCGATTTGTTTGGGGTTATAAGGTCGGATATGGTCATTATTGGATTCCTACGCATTTGTATGTTTTTTGGTTTATTTCATTCTTGATATTATGGTATCTAGTCATGCAAAAATTTGACTTGGCCTTTTGACCCGAGCCACGGGCCCATAAAGAATTGCCCTATTTTTACACCAAAAAAATTGAAACAATGTTTCCAAATGTCGATTCCTCTATAAATCTTATTATATCTCTGACATCAGACGACAACGACAAGCATCAGTGTTAAGATCGGAAGTGGCATTTATTTGCGAACGTCATCGAAATAGCAGCTTAAGACCCTAGGTATCTTTGAACCAAATCCGTTTCAGGACATTTGGAGTCGATCTAGCGATGTCCGTCCTTCTGTCTGTCTGTCCGTGTTTTTTGGATCGAGATATGAGATGGGCAATATCGGTTCACTCCTTTCGGTAATTTCCCCACAGAAAGTCGAAATTTAAAAAAAATATATACATTTTACTTCACATAAAGATAAAAGATAGTCCGATTTGGCTTCAACTTTGCATCAGTGCTACGCCAGGTGCGAAAATGGACAATATCATTCTACTCCATCAAGTACCTCCCCCACAAAGAGTCAAAATTTGGAAAAATTAAAACTCTTAGAAAATGTGTTGTAAGAGTCCGATTCTCTTCAAATTACACACATCACAACGTCTGGTGTAAAGATGAAGTATATCGGTCCACTCCTTCTGGTACATCCCCTACAAAAGGGCCAACATCCATGAAGCTCATAAAACGCGAAAATAACATCCAGTTCCATTCAGACTTGGCACATTTCAATATTTCTATTAGCGCAAGATATGTTATAACGATGGTAAGGATCGGCGCACTCCTTCTGGTACCTCCTCCACAAAGAGTCAAATTTCGAAATAACCAAAACGATTCTAAAATCCCAAATACGCATCAGGTTCTCTTTATATTTCACATATCTTATTATTTCTACTAACACAATATCTACTGCGAATAATGGATATATCGGTCCACTCCATCAAGTACCTCACCCACAAAGTGGCAAAATTTGGAATAAATATAACGCTTATAAAATGCGATGTTAGTGATTGTCTTCAAATTACACACATCGCATTAATTTTATTAACCTAAGGTCTTGTGTGAAGATGGAATACATCGGTTCACTACTTCTGGTACCTCCCCCACAAAAGGTCGAAATTTGGAATATCCATTAGGCTCATAAAACGTAAAATTAACATCCGATTCCACTTAGATTTGACACATCTGAATATTTCCCTCAACACAGGATCTGTTACAAAAACGGTAGAGATCGGACCATTCCTTCTGGTACCTCCTCTACAAAGGGTCAAAATTTTGAATATCAAAGAAGGTCATAAAACGCGAAATGAGCATTAGGTTCTCTTTATATTCCACACATCCCATTATTTCTAGTAACACAAGATCTGTTATGAAGATGGCATATATCGGTCCACACCTTCTGATACCTCCCCCACAACGGGACAAAATTTTGAATATCCTCATAAAATAAAACTCATAAAACGAAAAAAATTAACATTCGATTCCATTCAGACTTGGTACATCTCAATATTTCCATACAAACCTATTATAAAGATGGTAAAGATCGGCCTACACCTTCTGGTACCTCCCCCACAAAGGGACAAAATTTTCAATAACCAAAACGATTATAAAATCCCGAATAAGCATCCGGTTCTCTTTATATTTCACAAATCCCAATATTTCCATATACACAAGATTTGCTGTGGGATATATTGGTCCAATCCATCAAGTACCTGCTCCACAGAGGGTCAAAATATTGAATATGCATGAAGTTCATAAACCGCGAAATTCAAATCCGATTCCATTCAAGACTTTGTATATCTCAATATTTTCATCAACACAAGATCTGTTATAAATACGATAGAGATCGGACTATTTCTTCAGGTACCACCCTCACATAGGGTTCAAGATTTTGAAGAACAAAGTGAAGGAAGTAAGGAAGTCCAAGCCTAGCACGTCGCAATATTTATATCATATATATATATGAATGTCCTATACGAAAAAAACAATACTGGCACATTCCTTCGGAACCTACTCCATAGAGGGTCAAACATATGAATAATCATAACAGAAGTCAAAATATAAAAATATATTTATATAATCGAACATTGGATGAGGGTACACATCTGTCGGCAAAACGGATTAAGGGCTGGCAGTTTTTTTTAACTTCTTTAATTTGTTTTTTTTTTTACCAAATTCTGTTCTTATTTGAACGACAGCAATCTACAATGTAAAAGCACAAAAAAAGAACTCTACGTGCCGGACGTCCTACATTTAAATTAGTGAGTTCGCGAGTTTGAAAATCATAAAAAAAATCATAAAAATTTGTTGCTGAGTAAATTTCGATAGTTAGAATTTGCAAAGCTCTCAATAGCTTAACTCCCGAAATTACTTTCTTAACTCACTCTTATGTACTGGAATTAATACAGCTACATCCCTTTACCATACGATATCCCTTTACCATGGATATGCAGTTTCTGCTTTGACGCTTGAATTTAACGTTAAGTAGTTCATTTTTTTCTCTGATGGCCAACGAATAAAAAAGCTCGTTACCAACTAAGAATCAGTTTACTTTAATGATCCAATGAATATATAATCGAATGACATTTTCAAGTCAATAAAGGACAAATATACTTGAACTCGATTGTGTGTGTGCAAGGGCATATCACATAATGAAGGACTAAAAGGGAAAATGGAGTAATTTTCTAAAGACTCACACATCTACGATTCCGCTCAAGGGCATAAATATGTATAACTTCTATTTAACTTATGACAACTGTATAGCTTTGTATGTATTTGTATTCATTGTGTGTCCTTCATTATGTTCTCCATGAAAGTGTTTTTTTTTTTATTTATAATTTTTCCCCACTCTTCTCTTTTTTTCTGTCTCTTTACAGAATTATAACGAATTATTTTGTAGTCTCCTTAGCCATGGCTGATATTATGGTCGCCATAATGGCCATGACATTTAACTTTAGTGTACAAGTAACGGGACGGTAAGTACAAATATACAAAACGAATGAACGAACGAATTTATAAACATTCATGCATGCCCTTACATACAGTCACTCATACACATGTAGCCAAGCGCATACACAATCAAACACCCTGTTACATGTATTCATTCATTCATTCATTCATTTAGTCAACCATTCATTTGTATGTTCCATTGGATGTAGACGACGCAAGGCTCAAAAGAGCCTGCTGCACATGGACCTGTTGTTGTTGTTGCTGCTTTTTAGTTCACATCCGGCATAAATGGTTTGGAGAATCCAAGCACCAACAGCTGCATAAAAATGCGAATGAAACAAAAAAAAAAAACAGATTGTCATGAATGCATAAAAGCAAAACATGAAACAAAAATAGAGGACAAACATGAAAATTTATGAATAGGAAGGACATAGAACAAAACACAAAAAACAACAACAACAACAGCACAGAAAAACTACATCAACAAATAAACGAATGCACATCATGTAATGCCATATGTGCTAGTGATATCTTCACTTTGTCATTAAAGTGCAATAGAGAAAATATAAGAAAAAATAAATATATTATGTCCTTAAAGCATTTTTAAATAAAATATGTATGTACCTGTGTATATATAAAAGGGAAGATCAGGTGTGGAAGAATGTGGACAACATTTGAATTTTAAAGGTAGAGAAATGTAAATGTTCCACAATTCCTCGTTTGATGCAGTGTTTCAAACAAATGTCAAATTAAGTTACTTAATACATAGGTCAATAGAACATATTCCAAAATAAACCTCGTGACCAACATTTTCCATATCGGCAACATAAGTGCAGATTTAAGGTTGTGATATAACTTGCAAAAAACTTGGGCTCGAAACTAGGCGGTTTCGATTACTAAATGGTTTTCCAGTTTATATTATTTGAAAGTTTTTATCCTAATTCCACAAATATGATCTATAAAATTGGTATATATTGTCAGTAGCAGTCATATCTCCACGAATTCTTCTAGAAACGGTAATGTTATATTGCAGTCGTCATATAAAAATTGGTTTCATTCATGTATGTATGTTACAGTAATAGCCAAAAAAAACCTTTTTCTCTCTCTCTCAGTCTATGTCAGCAATTAACTAACAAGAGGACACTGCCTTCTTAGTTTTTTACACCAATGATATAACGATACCGCCTGATCTTATTATCTTGAAGAACTTTTTTTTAAACTTATTAAGTTAGATGAATAAGGCATTTTGGTCTTTTTTTCAAAATAATCTATTAAATTATTTGCCATAAAATGCTACTATTTGCTTAACAGCAGCAATACCCCTTTTTAGGGTTAAAGCGCAATTCATGTGAAAACTCTCCAACAAAGTATTATTCTAGACGTTCAAACGACAAATACATTCAAACTGTCGATTTATGCATGTCTGTCCGCTTGTCCATGTATTTTTGTAAGTAAATTACAAATCGCATTAACTGTTGCTAAACAAGTAAAAAGGAAGCTAACTTCAACCAGGCCGAACTTTTAATAACCTCCACCATTTAGAAGGAACTTAAAAATTCAAAAAAAAAAACAGTAAGGAAAGCTCAAAAGTCGGGCGGGGACGACTATATGATACCCTACACCACTATGCATATCTGGTAGAGCTCTCGTAAAAAGGTTTATACAGGGCATTTCAGAGCTCTATGATATTTGGTACAAAATCAAAATCTATCTAATTCTATCGTGCATTTTACGAACTATAGCTATCTCTGAACCGGGTTTCTCCAAATTTTACCTATTAGCTTCTAGACTGAATTCGGTCTTATGTACGAAAATTCAGGTGATTTGGGCTGATATTGACCATTTGATGCACAATTAACCCGAAATCGGATGAAGATATATATGGGAGCTATATCCAAATCTGAACCGATTTCGATAAAATTACAAACAGCTATTTCTGGGCTGTATCTTATATCTGGTACCAAATATCATTCTTGTGGAGTGCATATTACGAATGTGAGAGGCTTAAACACCAAATCGGATAAAACATATATATGGGAGCTATAGCTGTTTCTGAACCGATTTTTTCCAAATTTGTTGCATTTGCTTTAAGGCTAATCTCGGTCACATGTGCCAAAATTCGGGCCATTTGGGCTGATATTGGCCATTTGGTGGTCAATTAACCCGAAATCGGATGAAGATATATATGGGAGCTATATCCAAATCTGAACCGATTTCGATAAAATTTAAAACAGCTATTTCTGTGCTCCATCTAATACCTGGTACCAAATATCACGGTTGTGGAGTGCTTAGTAGGAATGTGAGGGACTTAAAGATCAAATCGGATAAAACATATATATGGGAGCTATAGCTATATCTGAACCGATTTTCTCCAAATTTGATATACTTGCTTCTAGGCCGAACTCGGTTGGGTGTGCCAAAATTCAGGTAATTTGGACTGATAGTGGACATTTGGTGCACATTTAACGCGAAATCGGATGAAGATATATATGGGAGCTATATTTAAATTTGATCCGATTCTCACCAATTTCAATAGGGTTCGTCCTTGGGCCAAAAAAATATTGTTTGGAAAATTTCATCTCAATCGGATAATAAATACGACCTGCATTTTGTTCACAAGAATACATGGACAGACGGACGGACGGACGGACGGACTGACATGCATAAATCGACTCAGAAAGTGATTCTATGAAGGTTCTCAAAAGTAACTATGGGTCTATCTCGTTTCCTTCTCGATGTTACAAACAAATGCACAAAGACATAATACCCTTACCACTATGTGGTGTAGGGTATAAAAAAACAATTCCAGTGAATAATGTCGCTAAAATCATTAAAATATCGATTATCGGGAGGTACCGTTATATAGGGGCTGTACGAAGACCTGCATCCGAAATTTTTTGTCATAACTTGTAGTACTCATTACGAACTTTGAAATAATTTCGCTATATGATGTCGCCAAAATCATGAAAATACCGAATATCGGGTGAAACCGTTATATGGGGGCTATACGATAACGTGGACCTGCATACGAAATGTTTAGCCATAGCTTGTAGTACCCATTAAGAACTCTAAATACGAAATTAGTTACGATTTCGGTGAATAATGTCGCAAAAATCATGAAAATACGGAGTATCGGGAGATACCGTCATGTGGGGGCTATACGAAGGTGTGGACCTGCATACGACTTTTTTTGCCATAGGTTTAGTACCCATTAAGATCTTCCAAAACATAGTTTGACACTATTCCGGTGAATACTGTTGCTGAAATCATGAAAATAGCGACTATCGGGAGGTACTGTTAAATGGGGCTGTACGAAGACATGGACCTGCATACAAAAATGTGTGTCATAGGCTGTAGTACTCATTCCGAACTTCAAATACGAAGTTTGAAATAATCCCAATATATAATGTCGCTAAAATCATGAAAATACGGAATATCGGGAGGTGCCGTTGTATGGGGGCTATACTAAATTGTGGACCGACATGGCCAATTTACGAACTTAAACTGCCTCAATTCGTTCGAAAGATAGCGTGATTACAACAGACGGGGCAGGCAGATCGTCCTAGAATTGTACGTCCTAGAATTATACGGTGATCTTGAACATATATACTTTTTAGGGTCTATTCTGAATATTTCGAGGAGTTACAAACGGAATGACAAAGCTAATATACCCTCCATAGAATGGTGGAAGGTATACAAATCTTTAAAAATCGTTTTATTTCACAACTTCTTATGTCCTCCACCATACATTGTATGGAGGGTGTATTAAGTTCGTCATTCCGCTTTTAACTCATCGAAGTAATAATTTTAGACTCAACAAAGTAGATATATTCTTTATCAGCGTAAAATTCTTAGACGTTTTAAGTTTAGTCCGCCCGTCTGTTGTAATTACGCTAGGGTTAAAACTGCTAAAAAGATAGGAAGCAAACATTTTGCACCGATCTGTATTTTGTCTGCAGGCAGGTCAAGTTCCAAGATGGGCTACATTGGTCCCCATATAACGGTACCCCCGATATTCGGTATTTTGATGATTTTAACCACATTTTTCAATGGTATTGTCTGAAATTCTACACAAGGAGTTATCTGTTAGTACTTTACCCTCTGAAAGAGAATTGTGCAATTGTATAGTCCCCATACAATCTTTCCCCTAGATATTGGGTATTTTGATAATTTAAGAAAAAAAAATTACAGAACTCCACACAAGGAGTTCCTTATGAGTATCTAACCCCTGAAAAAGTATTTTCTATATAGGTCCACGATATAGTAGAGCCCCCATACAATGCTGCACCACGATATGGGGTATTTTGATGATTTTAACCACATATTTCAATGGAGTTTGCTTAAAATTTACACAAGGAGTTCTCTGTGAGCATTTTAGCTCCTAGAAGAGAACTGTCTATAAAGGTCTACGTTTTAGTATAGCAACCATATAACGCTACCCCGAGATACTCGGTATTTCCAGGATTTTCGTATTGTATTTGTATTTGAAGTTCGTAATGGATACTACAACCTATGACGGAAAATTGTCTATGTCTTAGTATAGCCACCATACAACGGTACTTCCTTTTTTCGATATTTTGATGATATTATCGACGTTTTTCACCGGAATTGCGTAAAATTTTGTATTTGAGGTTCGGAATCGTTACTATCCTATCACAACAAGTTATTTATCCAGCACTACGTCTTCATATAGCCCCCATCATTTGAGCCGTATTTTTTGGTCGGATTTTTTTTTTTTTTTTTTTTTTTTTTGATTTTTCAAGTGCCTTTCGAATGGTGGAGGGTATAAAAAGTTCGGCCCGACCGAAAATAGTTGCTTCTCTACTTGTTTCCTTTACACAAGCTTATCTTTCACATCTGCAGGGAATAAAAATTGAGCCTTAGGTTTTTTCTACATTTTGAAATCAAATTAGCTGTAATTCTGAAAACGTCTTTACGAAAATTACGCTTTGTATAGCCTCCATATCCCATTCTTCTCATTATTTATTTATGTTTTTGAATTTCTTTTTTTTGTCCTGATAACATT